AACAGACTGCATATATTGTGATTGGACAGAAGGATAGACAATGTATTAAGTAGGCTAATAGTTAATGGTTGAGACTAGTAAATAATGTGAATGTATGGTCACTTCGACTTCGCGGTACTGCATTGTTTTAAATGTAAACATAATAAAAAATATATTTAAAAAAAAAGAGCATTATGAGCCTGATATTGCCTGAAGGTCATCAGACAGAGATGAAGAAATATGCATGAAATGGAGCCATAGCTATAGAAACAAGGCACTTTTGAAAGCTAGAAAATCTGAAGACAGACAAATTTTACAACTCTTACAGCATCCTACCAAAACAGATTTCTTAAATGCTGTCAGGTATCTTTTCTTGCGTAATTCAAACTTATGCAGAGAATGCAAGTGAGAAAACAGGCGGATGAAACGGCAAATAAGGAAATAAAATAGCAACGATTGCTATTTGAGCATTTACCATAAATAACCTAAGCGTTGTATTGAAGTTTTGGAAATTGTACATTTGACATGTCAGTGACATGATAGTTATTATAACAGGCTTGTTATTTTTATGGCAACAAATAGGATTTATCCTCAACAATATCATACACATTTTCCATGAATATATTACCTGCTATTCTTTTTAATGTGGCAGTGTTAAAAATATTAAAATAGTGGATATTAAACACTTTCCCAAGGTTTTTACAGACATCTGTGAGTTCAGAGAGACACTTCTTAACCATCTCTTCCCGTAGGGACATCTTGGTCTCCAAAGCCCTCTGCTTCCGGATATTGCTGGCACTTTCTGTTTCACAGAACTCCACCTGAAGGGCATGAAGAGGCATGTTGGTGTATGACAAAAAGAAGAACACTTCTGAGACATTGTTTACAAGAGAAGAAAGAAGAGGGAACAGTCCAGCACAACTGATGGCTGACAGCTGAAAGGGGGCTTTCCTTTTCATCAGCCTCCATCGCTATTCTGTTTTTCTGAACCAATCCGCAGCAGCTCCAGTCTGGGAGCTGGGCTGCTGGGTCTGCAGTCACATACCTGCAAGCAGCCATTCAGCACAGCACCAGCTTTTTCCCCCAGCTGGATGTACGCTATCGCTTGATCGTTGGCTGTGATGTACAAGTCTTCATCCAGAATCTTGTCCAGCACCAGCTTCCTAAAAAGTCGCTCGGAGTTATGGCGGGAGTAGGCTGCTCCCTTGCCAAAGAGACCACACTGAATCTTTGCAGCTTTTGAACCTAGGAAAAGGAGGAGAGTATAGCTTATTTTCATGGCCAACTTATCATTTTGAAAGTTATCGGCTCCTCTTTAGAAAGAAGAGATCCCAGGATTGGAAACCTCTGGCCCTGAACAAGAAAGAGTAGGATCCACATCCGGATATAACCTGCTGGGAAGGTATGAGCCAGAGCGCGCTGATTGGGCAGCCTGGAATATGCACCTCTCTCTGAGTTTCTCATAAAAGGGGGAAGAGCCCAGATCCCTCCTCTCAGTCCTCCCTGCTTCCTACACAGGTAGCCAGGGCAGCCAAAAGGACTGTCCAGTCCCTCCTCAGGCAATTCACTTGGCTTTTTGTGGCTGAAAAAGAGAGAAGACATTCCTGCTCTGTCCCACAGGCAAATTTGGCAGCAGGGATGGCCGTTGCTGGGGCACAAATTCCGCCCTGCCACCTCGGTCATGTGACCGAGGTGGTCACACCTGAGCCCCAACAGAAAACAAGGAGGGTGATAAAGGGAGCCTGGGTTCCTTCCTTGGCAAAAGGGGATGGGCTGGGGAGAAAAAAAATGTTTTTATCACCCATCCGGCACCCAATGTTGAAAAAAATATACAGGATTTATACATGTATATACAATTACGTATAATGTAGAACTTACCCAAGAAAATGTCAATCATCATATTGAGGGTATATCTTCCTGCATTTCTCTTGATATTTCTAGTTCCTTTTTCACCACAATATTCCTTTACAAACCTCACAATGTTTTTTACTTCTTCGGTCACATTCTTCAACTTGTATACCTAATAAATGTAGTTTTATTAATTCTGTACCTCATATGAGCCAGTACACAGCAACACTTAATATCATTTAAATGTGATGTAACTGTAATTAATAACTTATAATAGGAATATCACATAATAGCTTTTTGGGGATGAAGAACAGCAATTATCTGAGAAAAAAACTGTAATGCTATCATTTGGAAAACAAACTTCTTCAGCTGGCTGCTTCCAGACCTTCCCAGGAAGATTTATGTTTGGCATTTACATTTCATATTTCTAAACTGCTCACTCTCTTCAGAGAGGGGCCGATCCAAATGTTTAGAGGCAAACTTTGAGGCACAGCTGCTGCTTACCTGCTGTTTGGTGCAGTTGTCGCAACTTACTTCTGGATGCTCCTTACAAAATCTAGGATTAAAGTCCGTTTCTCCAAAGTAGGCCAGCAACTGTATCCTCCGGCATTCCATGATGTTCTCGCAGTAATGGACCATGCTGTAGAGGTTGTTGAAGTGTGTCTGCCTGGTGTGGCTGTTGCCTTCCCTTTCCACTGAAAGGCAAGCAGGGGGGCCCTGGTGAGGAAAGGGCCCAGAGGAGCAAGACCTGGGACAGGCGGCTAGACTTTCACAAAGCTACTGAGTTGCAAACCTGGTGAGGATGGAATCACCCCACAGACCTCGGAACCCCCTTTGGGCCCATTTTCCTGGAGCAAGGAGATCCCTCAGCCACCAGGCGGCCTTGATGGATCAGGTTAGGTTGTGACAAGCACCGTCCCAAAGCTTGCTAGGAAAAGCAGCTGCCAATGCATTTTCCATTTTGGAAAAATTAATCCTAGCTGTTAAAGCCCAAACTGTTCCCAATCCCCCCGTTCTCACCCTGTAGACACAGATCCCTTGACCAACAGGAAACAAAAGAAATCAGCCGGGCAGCCTTAAGATCAGCTAGACTGATTCCGGCTGACTTTCTAGGGAACAAGTGAAAGCCAAATTATGAAACGCTGGAATGTGGTGGCCTCTCACGTAATGCTCCAAGCAAGATAAAGTCAGTCTTATTTTGGCTCTGAATATTGTTGGAGTGGCAAGCAGGGAGTGTTGCTCCGGGAAGGGCTGCTTGCACAGAGACGCACGGGAAAGAAGATCCTCGGCTGGACTTTCCCTTGATTTGCCTTAGGTTTAGGGTTTTCTGTTCACCGTTAGCCGACTGGACCCTTTGGCAGAGAGCAGCACCATAAGTGGGCAAGGGAATAACGGCCCCGGCCTTGAAATGACACTTACTCAGGATGAGCCTCCTCAGCCGGGTCACGTCGCTGTAGCTGTAGAAAAGAAGGCAGTGGGAGACTTCACCATCCCGCCCGCTTCGGCCGGATTCCTGATAGTAGCCCTCAATAGATTTAGGGAGGGAGGCATGGATCACAAAGCGCACGTCGGGCTTGTCGATCCCCATTCCAAACGCAATGGTGGCACAGATCACCTGGAAGGCAACAGAACAAGCCACTTCATCGGGGGAAGCAAGAGCACCCTGGACGTTGGGGGTCCGACCACCAGGAAGCTGCCTCCGATGGGCTCGGATCCTCGGCCTATTCCCTGCCCCTGGCTGCCTCTTCTACCAGACTGCTCCCTATTTTGCTTGTGCCAGTATGCCCGGGGATCGAGGTGAGTCCAGGGCTTTGCTAGGGAAGAAACAAAGCGAGAGTCCAGCCAGCTGACTGGCAGAGCCGGTCACTGGTTCATCCCCTCTGGCCTATCCCTCATTGCTAGCCCACAGAGATGCTGCCAGGACTGCAGGCAATCCCTCTCTCTCTTCTGCTCTTCTTCAAACCCTTTCCAAGGAGGGGAAAGACAAGTACACAGACGGCTTTATCGAGGGTGAGGGATCCAATCAGAGGAGGCAGCCCTATTGCTCCATTGGACAGTGCCACAAAATGATGGCATACTATTTGAGCCAATGTCTTTTGAACTGGAACATTTTGTCCCATTTGATACTAGAATAACAGAGGTGGAAGACACCTTGGAGGTCTTGTGACCCCGGGACACGGCAACCGTCTCAAGTATGGTCTGAGTCAGCTGCCAAGGCTCAGAAGTTTGATCACAGGACTAGGAGAAAGCTGCAACGGTGCTAAGTGTGAAAACGGCGATAAACCACTTTTTTCAGTGCCACTGAAACTTTGAACAGTCACTAAAGGAACGATTGTAAGTGGAGGACTACCTGTAATATGGAGACCAAAACTGGATTCAGTATTCTAAGTGTTCTTAAGGCTTCTTGTCTTCCAAATCATCCTGTTCAAGCCACAGTACTGGTCAAAGAACGGAAAGCCCTATTCTGCTGTTGCCTCTGCAGAATCCATGCCGCTCTGAGCTCTTGAAATCTGGACTTCTGCACTTCCCTGCACTTCCCTTTGCAAAGGGCGGGTCTGTTGCCCCCCTCCCCCTCCTTTGGCTTTAACTGCTGACATGGCTCCCGTTTGACTGGATCTCCCTTCCTCGCAGGGTCTTCTTTCTACCTGGCATCCATCCTGGTTGATCCATTTCTGCTGCACAAGGTCTCTGGTGCCATCTGGGAGGCCAGCGTGGTACGCCAGGGCTGAGAGGCCGCCCCCTTGCAAAGCATTGGCCACGGAGTCACATTCATACCGTGAGAGACAATAAATAATTCCCGAGTCACCTGCAACACACAGGAAAAGGTTCGGGGGTCTCAGATTTCTTCCAGTGTTTCTCAACCTCAACAACTCTAAGTTGGCTGGGGAATTCTGGGAGTTGAGCGCCACCCATCCTAAAGTTGCTGAGCTTGAGAATCGCTGGTCTGTTCAAGAGGGCGACACAGTTTGGAATTCCATCTGTAGGCTTTGCTTAATTGCAGCTTGTAACAATTCACCATTGGACAGAAACAAATCCAACCGTCAAATTTGATGTTGCTCCTTTATCTCCATGGCTTCCCTGCCCTTTAAAGATCGTAACAGATGATGAGATCCTTTCCCATCTCTTAGCCCAAAGAACATAACACCAAGGAACACCAAGATATCAAATACCAGAATTTATCTATAATCCAATAAACTTTGGGTTTAAAGTAATCCCACACAGGTAGACATTGGCCAAGGAAGAACGGGTGATTAACTTACCAGGGTGGTATTTTCTGATCCATTGTAAGCAATCTAAAGCAACAGTTTTGGGTTTCTTGGGTAACACGTCGTATTTCAAGTTGTGCCTGTTAAAGCTCATAGTAAACCTAGAAGGACATTAGCGATTTAGTTGGATAAAAGCATTATTGAATGACTATAGAGCTCATCTATACAGCAATCCCAGTAAAGCTGTTTCGTCTCCAAGAAGGAAATCTCTCCTCTGCCTCCCAGCCCAACTTACACCTGGGGCCGGTGCATCTCCAGTTGATTCAGGATGTCCTTCTGCACTCTGGGGTTGGCGGTGGCAGTAAGAGCCATCATGGGAACCAAGGAGAACTTCTTTCGGAGCATGTTAAGCCGCTTATAATCTTGGCGAAAATCATGACCCCACTAATAAAAAGATTTCTAACAGTTACATTTATATAGTCCTATGAGAAAAGCACAGCCTCTTTGTGTTCTATAGTTTGATGCATCAAGACATAGTAAAAACCACCTGATCCTTACCAGTTTTTAAAAGGCGGTAAACACGGCTCAGATGAACCAGGTACAGGCCCTGATATGTAAAACCACAGTATTCCAGCAGGGTGCCACTTTCCTGATCACACGACTGCATTCTGCCTCTACTATTTTTACAAATAACTCAAGGCCACAAACATACCCATTCCTCCTCCTATTAACCCCACAACAACCACCCTGTGAGGTGGGCTGGGCTGAAAGAAGGGGACTAGCTCAAAGTCACCCAGCTGGCTTTCATGCCAAAGGTGGAAGTTGCACTTTCCGGCCTGGTGCCTTGACCGCTAGTGAGAGAGAGAGACACCCGTCGTGGCCGTCTGTGCCCGATTCAATGAAAACAGATCACCTGACTGACGCAATGGGCCTCGTCGATCACGAAGCGAGCCAAGAGCTGCCGCTGGTACAGATTCTCCAGCGCTGACATCAGCTGACCACTCAAGCAAACCTGGGGAAAGCGAGAGCAGCCCAGATGCCACAACCCCATGGCTCTTCTCGTCTCCTCCTCCCCAGCCCCCATCAGGCAGGCAACGATATCCAAAGGCTCCTCACATGCAGAGGGACCCAGGCAGAGCCCAGCTCCATCCAGGCCCTTGGACTCAGCTGGACCACCGCTCAGCAGCTCAGGCTCCCATACAAACCTTCTCTGGAGTAACATAGAGGAGTTTTATGATGGGATCTTTCTTTGAGAGCTGCATGTAAATTCGGGATGCTTCGGCATCAGTCTTATCGCCTGTAAGGTACGTTGCTGGAATCTAGACAGAGAAGACAGCGGCTCTAATTTGTGGCTAATCTTGGTTGCTGCTGACCGCAAACTGGTCAATAATAAGGCCGATGCTTGTGCTCGAAGTGGGGAAGGCCAGACCGGTGCTCTGCTGTTGGCCACTGCTTGTCCCTTCAGCCACAGAACCAAATTGTAAGAAGCATCACACAATTCTAGATGGACCTTTTAACTGCTGTGAATAATTTTGGAAGCCACTTTTGTCTATTGTGTTTCTTACTTTTCTATTTTTCTTCCATTTTCTTTTCTTGCACTTTTTGCCTTGTCTTTGTTTTAGTTTCCATCTTTTCATTTAAAAGTTTCAATAACAATTATATGTAAAAAAAACCACCCAATTCTAGCTGGACCAGTAACTCTGGGGAAGCCAAGGCTACGTTGTTCCCTCGATGAAAGCAGTTGTACACCAGATTATCTTCCTAGATTTTTAACAGGTCTAACTGGCTAAATTTTGTACGAACACAGATTCTACAAGAATTTAAGAGTTTTCTATTTGCACAGTCACACTGTAAAGAGCAGAAATCAACATGCCCGTGATAGATACAATGATCTTAACACACTTTTGCATTTCATGAGATTTACAATCGAGCAGGAAGCCATCTTGAACTCACGTCTATTGAGGTCAGCTTTTGGACTTGATCCACTATCAGGGACCTCAACGGAGAAATGACGATGGTGACTCCCACCGAAACACAGGCTGGTAGCTGATAGCACAAACTCTTGCCACCTCCTGAATGGAGCAAAAGCACAAGATGAAAACTCTACTCATGCTCTACTCTGCTACTAGTTCTATACACATAACCACGCGAAGAGGCCCAGTTCTTCCACTCACACTTTCTCCAACACCCCCTGCTACCATGAAGTTTAAAATCTGGCCCGAGAACTGAGATGCAAAGAACTACTAAGTTCAACCTCCTGGTTGGTACAGGAGTGAAGCATCCCCAGAAGGTCCTTAATATTTGTTCAAGCAAAATACAAGGATTTCTTATGAAATTTATTTTAGGAGATCATTCTTTGGGTTTTTATTAAAGCAGAGTCAAAGATTAGATTGCATATGAGTTCAGATTATTACGCATATTGACTGAAATCCTGAAAATGACTTCTAATCACAATGAACAGCAAATCATACATTAAAATCAAAACAGAAACTAGCTTTATAATGGACAGAAGAGTGCTCAGTCTAGGTTGTAAAAATGTAATTCAACCAAGTAAGAAATCTAATAGTTTCTTTTATTCCGAGTAAAGTTTAAAATTGATTTAGAGTATTATTACTTGTTATAAAGTTACAAAATTTTACTTAACTTTCCCTCCCCCCCCCCTTCCCCGGGTGACATGTTGGGCGACCTCATTCACTTTAGCAGGTTCTGGCAGGACTGTAAGATACAAGGAGGAGGGACAAAGCAAGACTCCACCAATGAACAACTATTCTGTCTGTATGGATGCTAATGACAACATCCAGACAAACAGTTAAGGGAAATGGATATAAAATGATATGGAGGTAGTACCTAACACCACGTAAATTAAATCAAATAGATGATGAATAAACAAATATTGGTTGGAAGTGCAAGAAAGAGGTTGGAACATATAAACATTATGTAGTGGGATTGTGCTAGTGCACAAAAAATATGGGACATGGTGTTTAGAGAAATTAGAGCACTGTTGAATGTAAAACTAGAGATGTCACCGAGGATTGCATTATTGTTGCTGGTGGAAAAACGGGATATAAATGAAACAAAAAAGGAATTGATTATAAATTTGATAATGGCAGCTAGATTAGTGATAGCTAAATATTGGGGACGAAATTGGGATATTCAAAGAAATGAGTGGTATAATGAAATTTGGAGTATGGCAACAAATGGAAATTAACAATGGAAATTAAATTTTAAAAAGGGATGATTAAAGCAAATTATAATGAAATATGGGGGGGGGGGATTTTATAAAAAACAATGTTGGCAGAAGGCAAAGGGAATAAACCTACTCAAGAATATATGTTGTTTTGAAGGGGATAAAAGCACAATTGGAATATATTGTAAAACCTTTAGTTGTTATAGAAGAAATGTGAAGAAAAAATGGTCTCGAGGTGTGTGTGTGTGTCTGTGTGCGTGCACTGTAATATTTGTATTTTTTCCTTTTTTTGTATTTAGATGTATGTGTACTATGTTTGTATTATTTGTATTTAAAATAAAACAAGAATTAAAAATAGGAACATCTCAGAAAAAGCCAATGTATTATTACAACCACATGGCATCATCGTCTAAAGCTTTTCAAAATCTCTAAACGAAGAAGAAACCACCTACCACATAGAAGGGCTGCAGTAGCCACGAGAGGCGGCCCTGGACTTTCAGGTTCCATGACTGTTGAACTTACAAGGACACTGAAAAAAGTCACTTGTGATCTTTTTTCCACACTTGTGACCATTGCAGCATCCACACAGTCGTGGGATCAAAATTTGGATGCTTGGCAACTGGCATGTGCTGATGACGGTTGCAGGGTCCCAGGGCCACGCCATCCCCTTTGGCAACCGTCTGACAAGCAAAGTCAATGGGGAAGTCAGATTCGCTTAGCAATCACACTACTCACTTAAAAACTGCAGTTATTCACTTAACAACGGTGTTGAGAAAGGTCCCCAAATGGGGCAAAATTCACTTAATGCCTTGCTTAGCAATGGAATTTTGGGGCTCAATTGTGGTTGTCAGTCAAGGACTTCCTGTAGGTAGAACACAGGCAGACTAGTCACAAACTCTTAATCACACAACATGTGGGCAAATTCAACCAGAGCTCAACTTGGAACATCCTAGACCAAGTTAAATCCAAAAATGCTGGGGAATTCCCGGAAGCGCTCAGATAAATCAGCCGTTAACAGACATAGAGAGAGAAATTCAAAGCATTAGAAGAAGACAATAAAAAGTAAACAAAGAGACCATCACCAGCAATCAACGCCCAGATAAGCAAATACACGGATATAATTTTGGCAGGTGATGTGAGAGGATAATAGGCGAGATCTTTTAGCTATCCTTGGCAGGAGCGAGGAAAGTAGAAAAGGAAGGCAATGGATCCCGGAATGGGCAGGATCCAGAAAAGTGTAGGACTCTGCCGGAAAAGCGTCCAGTTATTATTGAAGCAGTTGGAAAGATATGCATTTGTTGCCATGAGTCAAGCCTACTCAGTGATACCTACAGGTAGTCCTTGACTTAAGACTTTTGACATTTCAGTCAAAAGCCACTGCAGTCATAAACTGATGCCCTGCGGTCGGTAAGCATGTTTGAAATAGCTTACTTTGCAGGGTTTCAGAGCTGAAAGTTGGAGCACCACCTGAATCATTTCATCCCAATTGTTCAGCTTATCAGCATATCCCAATTAGAACATAAGCAAAATATCAGCAATTTGATTTAAAACCAATTATTACAACTGCTTTTTTTCTCTTGATTATTTCAATCCCAGTTTTAAAATGTAGTTTGTCAGCCTTGATTCTCCCTTCCCCCTTTCTTTGGAGGGCAGAAGGTAATGACCATTCAGAGATGGGCTTCACTTGAAGACTCACCTGTGGGCATCAGGATGAAGCAGTCCTGACCCAGCAAAGCAGCATTGATGGCTTCAAGTTGATTGGTCCGAAAATGATGGAGACCAAACTTTTTATGGAATATCTTCATCATCTCATTAGAATGTGCAAATGCTAAACCTCTGAATGGTTCCAGAGTGGCATTTCTGGAAGGCGTATCCTTAATTAGTGGAGGAACTTGGAAGAAAACAAACTTTTGTTACGAGACTGAAGACAATATACATTTGCTGTTTCCAGAATGTATAGCCAACCAATTAGGTGCTGAAACTTCATTAATTTCATAAACAGGAAAATATCCCAAAATGTTTCAGGGGTGGGAGGAGGGATGGATGAAGTGTCTTACTAAACCATGTCAATGATGAGCAGCGGTGGCTCAGTGGTTAGAGTGCAGTACTGCAGGCTACTTCTGCTGACTGCCGGCTGACTGCAATTTGGCAGCTCAAATCCCACCAGGCTGAAGGTTGACTCAATCTTCCCTTCTTCTGAGATGGGTAAAAGGAGGAGCCAGATTGTTGGGGACAAGGGGCTGGCTCTGTAAACCGCTTAGAGAGGGCTGTGAAGCATGGTACTGCGGTATGTAAGTCTAAGTGCTGCTGCTATTGCTATGATTAAATCTCACTAGGTTTCCCCCCCTCTATTTCCACTCATAAATGTACAAAACAATGTGAAGTCTTGAAGAGGACCCAGTTTGCATCCTGACACACAGCTCAGCCAGTGAAACACTTTCAGTCTCCACTTATTAGTCTCCACTAAAGTTGCAAAACAGCAACTTTGGATATAATGTAGCAAGATTCAAAATTACCCTTAAAACCTAAATGCAAAAAGCTGCCAGAAAAACAGACCCTTGTTAATAGTTCTAATCTTGCCTTAGCCACAAAGCCAGGAAGGAGGCATTGGCAATCCACCGCTGAAAAACCTTGCCAAGACTAGCCCAGGCAATCTCCAAGAAGTGAATATTATTGAGCAGAAGGAAAAAATTCTACTGGAAAAACCACCTGCTCTATTTAAAATTAATGCATCATGTATGTGCTATCCTGTATACGGACAATGGATAGCAATTGGTGGTCTTGCATTCCTGGTATGCTGCCAAGGAGTGCCACTCTACCTCCAGCTACCTGCTTTAAAGGACATCTCCTTCCCTGCTCCCTCCTGACGTTTTACATCAAAACAGCCAAATGTTTAGACTGGATTTGGCATTTTTATCCATCTACTAGCTGGTAACCCGATGTTGCCCGGGTATTTATAGACATCAAAGCATTTGTCTGACAGGGGCTTCGGGGGGAGGAGCCTGCCGCCGTCGGGAGCTCAACGAAGCTCCTGTCAGGATTCTGGTTCGTATATCTTAT